TGCCAGGTCAAGTCATGACGGAACCGGAAATTCCCATACGCAAATAATGTAGCCACCAAAACCATGATGGGAATCTGATAGCCTGATGGACTATATAACAAATAAAGTGAGGGTCAGAAAAGTGTATCAGACACTCCGATAGCAGGTACGGATATTTCCGGACAAAACTTAAATATAGTTGGCACTTAGTTTAGTTTAGCTTAGTTTATTGAGAGCATCATCAACGGGCATAGGAGGCCCAATTACAGATTAAGTCGAAGGTTAAAAATACACTTACATACATATATGTACATATACATATACATATATGTACATATACGTATACATATACATATATCTGTGTGTCGGCATATACATATATGTACATATGCCGACACACAGATAAATACACTTATAAAAAAAACAAATCAAAACATAGCAGTACCTACTTACGAACATGGGCAACTACATGAGACTTGAAAGACGCAGTGCTGCTCGTCCACACGTCTATCTCACGGTTGCAGTCCAAGAAGCCATTGCAGAGCTTTGGCATGCGACAGAAAGGACTGTTCAGCACTGTGTTCACCCGTGCGTACGGTACATGGAAGAGAACTCTTTTTCGCAGGGGGCGATGCGGCACGGCCAGCGGGAAACACTCCAAGTACGCGCTCTATTCGAGTCATGTGCGCCTCTGCGGCTCCTCCCCATACCACACTAGCGTACTCAAGAATGGAGCGTACATTGGCGCAGTAGGCAGCCAGCACAGCCTTGACATTGATACATCGTAGTGACTTGCCACCTTTGCCAGTTTGGAAGGACCTCATAAGTACGCCTAGCGCCCTATTCGCCTTACGAACAGCTGCATCCACATGTTCACCGAACGTGAGCTTCTCATCCAACAGGACCCCTAGATCTCGCATCACGCTCACTCTCTCAAGCTGTTGGCCTCCCACGCTGTAAATACTGATTGTTGGGTTGCGCCGTAAAGTTAGGGTAAGTACTCTACATTTACTTGGGATCAGCGTGAGCTGCCAACGCACAGACCATCGGTTCAGGTCGTCAAGCTGCTGTTGCAAAAAAGCTGCGTCCGCGACGGTGTCTACCTTGCTATACAGCTTAACATCGTCAGCGAACATCACACAATCGGTTTGGACGCAGTCTGGTAGGCCATTGATGAAGCAGGCGAATAACAGCGGCGACAACAGGCCACCTTCCGGCGTGCCGGATGGTACCTGTGTCCACCGGCGAACACTTCCTTTCACCACAACGCGCTGTTCTCGTTCAGACAGGTAAGACTTGCACCAAGAAAGAGCACTGCCACCCAGTTGATAGGAATTTTGAAGTTTATGCAGGAGTAGTTTATGATTGACACTTTGGAAGGCCGAACTGTAGTCTGTGTAAATTACGTCTGTCTGAGACCCAGCTGCGATGTTGTTCCAGGCAGCGTTTAACATCGTCAACAGATTCCATGCACACGAACGACCCGGCATGAATCCGTGTTGCCTATTGCCTATTGGAAGCCTTGTTCGACTCCTAGGAGGATCTGTCGATCTGTTACTTTCAGCTTCCGGCCCGCTCGTGGTAACCGCGCATGGCCAGCGCCGGCGACCTGAAGTAAAAACAAAAATGCCCCTCATTTTCGATGTAGGTAGCAGGCTGAAGCAGCTAAATTATACATTTTCTGAAAGGCAATTGATCGGTAAAGACCATATTGATAAAAGAAGAGCGCGACCTAGCGGGACGTTTTATATCGGCATTCTAGAATGTTTATGACAGTAAAATTAACTGACAATTTTAAAAGCACCTACAAACTTAACATTTGAAGCGTATTATATATTCCGTTATAAGTTTTTCTTTCCATCGTGAAGCCAATGGTCTAAACATTTATTGTTTCATGGTCTAAAGGTTAGACCCCGAAAATATTGATAAAGCCGTCTAATATACCTACATTTTTCTTACCTACATTAGCTGCTACTTTTCTCCGTACGAAAACGGGTCTACGATGCTTGTCACAGAACTTTGTATTTGGGCTGATGTGGCGCGGACGCTATACACCATTGGACGAAAAATTTTGCAGATTCGTGGTCCATGTATGATGGAATTGACATTTCTGAACTACGTGGAACAGTCTAACTCAGTTTGGGAAAGGGCCAAATCCACCATGTCGCGCTAATTCCAGCCGCGGTCCCATCGTGCAATGGCCCATCTTTTTCAAGTTCAACCCTCACTGTAAACATCCTGTTGAACACATTACAATGTTTTGCTAGGTTAACCACTCAAACTGGTTGGTTCACATATGATTTAACCCTCGCCCGTATTGGTGTTTTGCCAGCGTCTAACGTATCGTGCGTTGTTACTAACGTCACGATTTATATTTGACCTGAGGTCAAATCTAACAACACACACTCGGAAAGCCCTTTGAAAGAGCTGTTGAATGCGCTTTTCTGTGGCGCTGTAGCTCTATTGGTTCCCGAGTTATGCGTTGAGTGTTTGGGAAAATGTTGAAATAGGCAACATTTTACCTTTGATGACCTCTGGTGACGTGACCTTTGACCCAGGAGCCGAGTTAGACGGGGACGTGAAAACGCCTCCCCCCAGCACGACACTGAAAACTTAGGCCACCAGCACGGCGCGGGTTAAGTTCGACCCTCGATGTAAACAACACAGCACGATATTTGCTAGCTGAATTACTGAGAAAACTGGTTAGCGCACATTGTATTGAAGATATTTATATTTTCCAAATGTGTTTTAACCCGCGCCCCGCTGGGGGTCCTGGATTTCCACGCCTTGCTGGGGGGGGGGGGGGTGTTTTGAACACCCACTTCTAACTCGACTCCTGGGCCACGTAGCGATTCGCGGAAGGCGGCGTTCGAAAGAGCGCCAAAAATAATAACGAAATCACTTCGGTCACTTTTTTGGTTAGGCTAAAGGTCAGGTAACCAGTGGTCAAAGGCAAAATTTCGCTGATTTTCAGGTCAAATGTCGACAGTTTCCAAGAAGCCAACGCATAACTCGGGAACCGATATAGCTACAGCGCCGCGGAAAGCGACTTCGATAGCCCTATTAACGCCCTTTCTGAATAATTCTCTCAGATTTGACCTAGCGCCAACGGTTTTGCCTGCAGGGGGCAAAAACTGCCAAAATAACCGATTTTTTTTGGAAAGTGTTTGTGCAAAAACTTTTGACTCAAGCCTTGCACGAGCTTACTTTTACCAACATGACCTGACCGGAAAGGGTCATGTTGCATATCAGTCGATCCGTATCGTCGAGCTGAACACATCCAAGGCGTTTTCATCGCTCTAGCATGCCTCTATCAAAAGGTATTCGCGAAAAACTGTTAGATGCTATTCGTGACCTGAGATGACCTCAGGGGCATAAACAGGGGTCTCAGATACTATTTGCATGTTCAATGTGTCTTAGTTTCTTGTAATGGACCTCTTGCATGAACAGTTTTTTTGAAAAAAATGTATGAAACTGGGGTATTTCCAACTCCAAAAAATGGAATCTGGCGCTACTTTCTTTCTTAAAAATGGTTTTCCTTACTAAAATCGCACTTAAACTTAAGTCCTCAAGTTTCTGCTAGAGACGCAACGTGATTGGCTAATCAATACTTGACGTCACATCTAGGGTTCGCCTGATGGCGCATCTGCGACAAATCGGCACGTTGGATGTTTTGCGTTGGTTTCCTTGGTTTTGCGTATTTACGACGAGTGTTTTGCTGAAACCGGAGGCCTGTGAAGCAGTTTTTAAACGAGAGAAACGGTATTTGGCGATTGAAAATGTTGAAAAAACGGCAAGGAAAAGGAAAATATCAAACATATCGGTGGTGTTTTGTTCCCAACTGTTCCAACACCAGTGTTACTGCTCCTGATTTGCTCTATATACCGGTGCCGGTCTCACATAAAGAGCGTGCTCATTGGTACAAGATCGCACGTAGGGATGGTGCCCCTGCATCTGGAGCATTATGGGCATGCGAACAACATTTTGATGTACCAGATGACCTGGAAAATTACTTATATGTCAAAATGATGGGAGGAGCCGTCAAAATCAAGGCAGGAGTGACTCCCCACAAATTCGCTTGCCAGAGCCGTGGCGTTGCTGCAGAACATGTTTTGCAGAAGCGAAGCTCATTGCAGAGAAAAAGAAGCTTCAAGAACTGCTTGCTGAACCTGTGGACGATGCAGTTCCAACAGAAGGTGGGTCTACACATTTACCTGGTTGTGGTGCTGGTTAAGTTGCTATTCGATCATGGGGCTTATCTCACTTCTTGAACATGATATGCAATCATTTTATCAGACACTGTCTGAAATTTAATAGTATGTATTGGGTGGACTGATGAAGTAACAATTACAGTGCATTATAAATATATGGGGACCATGCATGATGGTTTTTGACAAGCTCATCAAAGTAGAATTCGTGGATGGTCCTGATATTATCTGAGTTTTCCTTTAGAAGGTGACATTATGTGAGTTATGCCCTTAGTGCATCTTATACTTACACCCATTTCTTCCTTCCAGGTGGTAACCTGGACAGTGGACCATTACCAGCTGATGGAGGAACAGCTACAGACCAACATCTTCCGACCTCAAGTGATAGTCCTGCAGCATGCTTCAAGGATGCATCTGTCCAGGTGAGTAAAAGGGATGGTGTTTGCTTGTACTTCCTTTTGTTAGAACACATTATTTATGTGTAGGGTGATAAAAATTTCAAGTAAGTTGTGCTACTGCCAGTGGCAGGAAGATGTGTAATGCAGCTGTTTCCAGTGATAATCTTTGTGTAAATATTTTTTTTTCATAAAGCCAGCTATGTATTTGCTCTGTTAGCTTTCATAAAGTACAAACTTCTTATTTCATCAGCCTGTCTCAAGCAAAAAAAAGTCTGAAAGGCCAATTTAAAAATGAAAATTCATAATGGTACCTAACTTTTTCAAATGTTGTCATTTCTCAGGTGCACCCTGTTCGGAAGAAGTTCCGGTCTAAAGCGACTCAAGCAGGTTTACCATTAGGATGCCATGATGCACAAGCCAGCGGACAGCATGATCTTACTGTACCTTCCAGCATGGAACATCAAGTCGGTGTGACGTCTGCAGCAGGTCACCAGAAATACAAACCAAAGGATCCATCATCCCTTGCAAGTGCCTCTGCCTCTGGTAAAGCATGTTCTGGTTCACATTACAATGCTGACCAGGATCAAAACAATGACAGAACTGCGATTTTAGTGAGCTCACCTGCAGCAAATGATACTGATACAGATTCTGATGGTCCCATTACGGCAGACACCAGCCCAGACTATGTCCCTGAGTCAGAGTCTTCTGACGAAGACTCCCATGGTGGCAGGGATTGGAAAAGATTGTCCCGCGAGCGCATCCGGCATTACATTGCTACGGACCCTATGCGTTACTTGGGCATTGGCAAACACAACATGTTTGTTTTGAATAAGATAGCCCAGAAACTGGACTTCAGAGAGAGCCGCGGAGGCATCACAAAGTTAGATATTGTCTTCATGATTCTGATGCGTATTAGGACTGACCGCCAGTATCATTTTCTGGCTGACGATTTTGGTATTTCTGAGAGCTTTGTCTCTCGTGTCATCTCGGCATACCTCCCTGTCGTGGCCAGCTGTTTACGGGGTTGCATAAGGTGGCCAGAGAGCAGTGAAATCCGCAAGCGGGTTCCACTGGCTTTCAAAGCCCGGTACCCATCTGTGGTAAGCATCATCGATTGTTTTGAAATTGAGATAGAGAAACCCTCTGCAGCTCTGCCACAGGCAACATCATGGTCCGAGTACAAAAAATGCAACACCATAAAGTTCCTAGTGTCTTGTACCCCAGACGGCTTGTGCAACTTTCTATCACGAGGCGTATCAGGTAGAACCTCAGACATTGACATCGTAACTAAAACAGGATTTTTAGAGCTTCTCCCATCAGGCTGCACCGTCCTTGCCGACCGTGGATTCAAAGGAATAGAAGGAGCACTGGCTTCAAAAAACTGCTGTCTCGTCCGGCCACCAAGTGTTGCTTGTGACGTTAGCCTCGATCGCGCCGATGTACTGAAGATGCGCACAATAGCCGGCCTACGCATCCATGTTGAACGCGTCATTGGTCGCTTGAGAGTTTTCAAAGCGTTGGACATTCACTCAAGGTTTCCACTGCAGATGGTAGATCTGCTGGATGACGCGGTCGCCATCGGGTGTGGCTTGATTAACCTCCAGGAAAAAATTGTGAAAGTATAAGTCAAAGAGTCAGTGTGGTTAGACCGAAACAGGCTGACATAGGCGGGCGGTTCTACGGTTTGTCGTTGGTGCGGGCTGTTGCACTATGCACGCGTTTGTGATCTTATACTTGCACCGTCAGCGACTCGTCTCTCAGTCCATAGGATCCGTTGATGGGCGAAATGTGACTGTGCCTATACATACAAACGTTTGAGTTCTTCCTAACGATTCGTGTGAAAATGTACTCTGCGTTGTCGTTGGAGTAATTAGGGGATGCTACTGAACACTATGTAATGGAATACATATTCATGCACCTACGCTTTGTGTATATAAGGTTTTACAATATGCAGCAACGGACGGATATTTATTGTCCACACAATTCAAGCATAACAGCGACAAACAGCGTTACCGATCACGACCGCACCCTGTCGACATCAGCACCGTCTCAAGGTGCTCGTCTCAATGACATCAGCTCAATCTACTGCTGACCACGTCCCTTGACCAACTCAGGGAAGACATTCTCACACCAGAACTTGCTGGCGGTCTGAATGAGGTCGCGACAGTACGCCTCATCATATCTTTCCTTACATATGTACACTGCCTTCTTCTGTGGGAAACCAGGGTCTGCCACACAGAAGAAGGCCAAGTCGCGCCCGGTCATCAGCATCAAAAGCTGCACCTGAGCGCGATGCTTGCTGACCATCGTCTGCTCCTCGGTAATGTATCGCCTCAGAGTCTTTTCGCTTGACGGGCACTTAACCTCTACCACCGCCCTGCCGTCGCTCGTCAGGCCGTCCGGCGACGCGCCAAAGATAGGCAGGTCAGGTCGGAGTACGAGGCCCGCACTCTCGACCTTCCCCACCTTCTTTGACACGGCTTTGAGCACCTGTGGCTCCAGCTCGCGCCCTCGCTGCATAGCAGCGCTGTCCTTCAGCTTAGCCGCACCGATGACGGACATCACGAGGGATCCGCTCTTGGTCTGGCAGCGCGCCGCCTCGTGCAGCTTTGAAGCGGTAATGCGGCCGAATCTCATGGCATGCCACATGCTGGACTGGTGTTGCGCACGAGTTTCCTTGCTTACAACTTGGCACGTGGTCGATGTCATGCGGTTCTTGGCAAACAAGATAAAATCTTTGGCGGACACGTCTCCGGGACAGGTACCTAGGTAGGCATCCAAGAGACGGTCCATAGAACACCCTTCCCACGGAGCCTGTGACGGTACAAAATAGTCGAATAGTAGGCCACTTGCACCCGTCTCACCTCTCCGCACCTCTTCGACCAGTTCCTTGAAGAAGTCCTCACCCGCGTCCCCGAGCATGTTGGCACCAGGTGTGGCACTGCCGCTGGAGGTGTCCCTCTGATGTGGCCGCAGGTCTCCAGCTGGTACAGCCTTTACCGCGCCTCCCACCATCGAGAGACGCGGCTTCTTCCAGTAGGCCTGGACGTCCGTCACAGACGGCTCTGAGCTCCGCCTGTGGAGCCACATCAGGAGGGCAACGCCATGTTTGCAGCCTCCCTGGCTTGCCACACAGTCGAGACACTGCACATATTTCACCTCCTCCTCTTCTTCGTCGACCAGCACAGTGACTCTATAACCTTTGCTGGTCACCTTGTGCTCTGGGGTCACACGCGCCCACACCTCACACTGGTTGGAGGTCCTCTTCAGTTGGACGTAACCGATGGCATCATCTCCATATTGTTCTCTTCCAGACCTGCCAGCAAACGGGGAAATGATGTCAATGTTATGTTGCATAAACTCTTTGAAAGCTGGCCTTTAAAGCTGTTTTCTATCCTTAAATTATAAAGTATCTTTAATATCTAGAACATCCTCATAACACAACTTTACAAGACCCTCCCTCATTAAGTTCTACACAGGCACAGCGGAACACAAATTTGCTTAAATGATCTACCAGTGAACATGAGCAAATAACACAAATTAAATATCTGAACATGGCACAACTGATGCCTGGGTTGCACCACAGCATTACGCTGCAGTGCGCTACACACAACATTGAGAGCGTCAGAGTTTGTTGATGTTCACATGGAAACGCAGTACAGCAATATGCATGGCGCATGCCGCACATGTAGCATGTTGCCATGAAACAGGGCACTGTTATTTGTCCTATATCTAACTGTTATTCTTTAACTTTGAGGTAAACTCATGCACAATTGCTTCCTGGCAGTTTAACAGAAATATATTTCCATTTTGCCCTGAATCTTCAGGTGCCAGGAAGGTGCCAGTCATTGCCCATTGTTTGCAGTTGGTAGGTAAGCTATAGGTACCTTAACCAACTCAAAATAATCTGGAAATCTCCTTCACAATCTAATTAATTCATCTAACTGTGCTGTTCTCTCAACTAGGGATCATAATTTCAATTCTTCTCCTGAAAACAATGGAAACTTTTTAACATTCCGTCAACCTCATAGATCACTCCAAAGTTTCTACGACTTAACCAGTACAAGTAGCTACGTTTTATTTCCATTAACCATCCCACAGGTACTTACCTCTTGACCTTCACAAGACGAAATTCTGGACTGATGAAGTTGGTGTCCCTTCTGAAGAAGCTTTCAATCATGTCATTATCTACAGCCGGCAGATTTCTTGAATCGGCCTTCAAGAAGCCTTCATACATATCATCTACCCTTGCAGCTCTTTTCATGCTTGATAGCAGCCCTCGACGACAGTCAGGAAAGCACTTCAACCTTTGTTTCAACAATCTAGACCTTCCAAAATCTCCAACACCTTCTCACACCTCACAGAACTTCACAAATTACAACACAGCACACGAGCCACTCAGCCGCGCCAGTCTCGTAATTCCTGCGCCATTTGGGTGACCCTATATGTGACGTCACGGGGGATAAACCGCCCGCGGCGACGTTTCTCCCGCCATTCGAGAGCCGAATTTTTAAAGTAAAAATTAAAGGTGATGCCCTTTGAATTTTGAATTGTAAGTGGTATTTTTGGAATCAGCAGACTCATTATGACCCAATAAACGTTGCCACCAATTTCATGCAAGAGGTCCATTCAGTGTTTGGGAGTGTTTATAATGGCTTTGGTCCAAAAGAGGCGCTTTTCAATTTTCTCCCATTGACTTATAATGGGGAGGTCGCAAAATTGACCTGACCTTTGGTCATCGATATCAAAACTCTGAGATATGCAGAGTTTATCTCAGTATAGTTTACAGCGCGGAGCGCCGCCGTTTTTGGCACACCTTATAATACATCAATTCTACACATGTTTTTAAAAAAAAATTCAGACCAAGGTCATTTAAGGTCAGGTCACCAGGTCACTTGAAGTGACCTCACCTCATGCAAAGTTTCAATGTCCGCCATAGCTACACCAAGTGACCGATCGCTTCGAAAGTTTCAACGATTGCTAAGAGCAATAGTATGTACAAAATGTATTATAAGGTGTGCCAAAAACGGCGGCGCTCCGCGCTGCCGTTTTTGAGATATTTGTGAAAAAAACACAGGGGGTGTTCACAGGTGTTCACCGTGTTCAAACACCTCCCTCCCCAGCAGGGCGCGGGTTAAACACCGCGATGATGTACCGTTATGTTAAACACCATGCGATTGACTAACCGGCGCCGGGCCGGTGCTTGGCGCCACCTGCACTGGGGGGGGGGGGTGTTTGAACACCCCCCCCCTTCTCACTCGGCTCCTGGGCCACGTAGCGACACGCCGTAGGCGGCGTTCGAAAGAGCGGCAGAAGTAATGAAGAAATTATATCGGCCACATTTTAGGTCAGCTCAAAGGTCAGGTCAACAGAGGTCACCAAAGGTAAAATTTCGCCACTTTCCAGGTCAAACTTCGATAATTTCGACAAACCAGCGCATAGATTAGGAACGGTTTAACGTGCAGGGGCCAAAAACTGCCAGAATAGGTAGATGGTTTTTGTGGGAACTGTTTTTCTGCAATACCTTTTGACTCAAAACATGCACGAGCTTACTTTCAGCAGCATCGTGTGCCTCTCGTCAAGGCGACGCATCGAAAGAACTATAAGTTGACCTCAAAAGTTCAACTTGAAAAATTTACCCTAGGTCAAGGTCATGACCTCATGACAAGGTCATGGCCTCGGGTCAATGTCATGACCTGACCAGAAAAGGTAATTCTGCATCAGTCGATCCGTATTGTCGAGCCAAACACATACATATAAGGTTTTTTCATCGCTCTAGCATGTCTCTGTTAAAAGTTATTTGCGAAAAACTGTAGGATACCATTCGTGACCTGAGCTGACCTCAGGGACATAAAGATGGGTCACGGGAACCATTTTCCGGTTCAGTTTGTCTTGTCTACTTGTAATTCGATGTTTGAAAGTGATTAGAATGACGTTCGTCCAAAAGAGGCGCCTTTCAATTTTCTCCCATTGACTGGAGAGGTCGCAAAATTGAACTGACCTTAGGTCACCGATATCGAAGTTCCGAGAGATACATTTTGTGTATCATTATTATAGTTATTGTATACATTATGTGTATTGTGTATACTGTTGTTTTATCAGTTGCCTAAAGTTTCAAAGTGATCAGTCACTCGGTGTAGCTGTGACAGGCATTGAAACTTTTCATGTAGTAAGGTCACTTGACGTGATATGGTGACCTGACCTTGGATGACTTTGGTCTGAAGTTTTCACAGAAGGTGTAGAAAAGATGTATGATAAGATGTGCAAAACACGGCGGCACTCTGAGCCGCCGTTTTTTAGATATTCGCGAGAAACCGGAGGGGTTGTTTAAACAGTCCCCCCCCGCAGTGCGTGGGTAGGGGTATGATCAAGGATGAAGGTGTTACATATCTATGCACGTTTGCCTCATTTACCTACATATGCACACCCACCAATATAATAGATTTCTCACGGTCTTGATGCCCGCTTCTCCTCGTCGCCTGCTCGGCACCGGTCCACGCGGCACCCGCAGCGTCGATAGTCGGCCGGTGCAGCGTTCAGAGGTATCGTGTTCCTGCCTGCTCGGAACCATTCCCCTCGGCACCCTCCGACCGCCCGCAGCGTCGATAGCCAGCCGGTGCAGCGTCCAGAGGTATCGTGTTTCTAAGGGACTTAGTGGCATTCCACTCTATTTCCTGGTGGCCTCCAAAAAACCACTGCCACAGCACCATTACCCCATCTAGTGGGTGACTTGTTAAATATCAATTCACCCGGCGTCAACCAGAGGCATTTTGTACCTTCCGATTTTAGACGATGCGATTTTGTATGATACGATCATCTCGTTTTGTAGGTTGCAATTTTGTATGATACGCGTTTGTTTGATCTGCCATTGTACGTTCCAATTTTGTACGTTCTGATCATTG